GACCGTTCGCATCCCCGGGCCTGGCCCGGCGGCCCCGCTCCTTCCTTCCGTCCGCGCGTCCGTCCGAGCGGCGGCGCCGGGCCGGCTCCCTTAAGCGGAGGCGCCTCCCGCCGCCTCCTCCCCCTCGCCGGTCCCTCCCTCTCGGCTCGCTCCGGCGAAGTTAGCACGTCAAGCCCCCGGAGTGGAGCCAGGGTGAAGTCGGAAACGCAGCCACCTACGGAGAGCAGGCTGCCTGTCCCCAGGGCACCATCGAGTGCCGTCGCCAACAGGCCCTCTGCCTGGGGCCGGTGTCTACAGGGGATAGTGTGGGGGGCACTTCGCCCTTGGCTCGCGGGCAGCCGCGCAGTTGTCAAAAGCATGAATGGAAAGCCGCTGCCGAGAGGACGCCTGACTTGTAGAAAACCACGGACAGGCATGGAAGTGCCGCCCAAGTATCAGCCCGGAGTCCCATTCGCGCGCGATGCCGCCCATGTGTGCCCCACACCCACAACCGGGGGTTACAGTGGCGCCTGGGGAACTTCTTGTCCAGCAAAGAAGAGATCATGATACAGTGTAAAAGGGAGTGAAGGAGACAGAAACAGATCGAGGCGATAGTTAATCCGCATACATATTTTGGAGGCACTACCCCAAATTTGTTATTTCTCCTTCCATTGCTTCTGGAGGTGATTCATTCACCCCGAAAATTAAAAAAACAAACAAACAAACCTGCCATTTAAACAGCTGATTCATGTTTCAATCGAGTTGTTAATGTCTCTCTTTCTATAGTTGTATTTTCTTGGGCAAGGCGAGAACCTAGGGCTTAGGAGAATATACAGAATTCCTAGAAGGTATATTTATAAAATACTGTTTTCAGTCAGATACTATTCACTAAATTAAGCACTGGCCCACAAAACTTAGCACCCTCTCAAACACACACAGCTTTTGCTTAAGTGACAGCCTAAAGATGGTAAAATAAAAGACTATAAAAAACTAACAAAGTACTTGAAACTGGATCAAACCACACCAAGAACTTTCAGTAAGTGTTGCTATTACTCTTTTCTCAAACTTACGTAAAAATATGAAGCCTGAGACAAAAATAACTGTTCTGACCATCATGTTTCACACTGCAGTCACATAAGCACTCCTATAACTTGTGTCAGAGACTTTGCTTACAGGTGCTTTCTCCGACTAGATGAGGAGGAGGTGGGTTCATTCATTTTTTTTTAAATGTCAAACATCTGGTGTGAAGAGGTGTCCTACTTCTCTGTTGAAAAAACAAAATCTAGCCGGGCTCGGTGGCTCAGCCTGTAATCCCGCGCCTTTGGGAGGCTGAGGTGAGTGGATTGCCTGAGCCTGTGGGTTCGAGACCCACCTGGGCAGGCGAGACCTCATCTCTACAATAAATCAAAAAATCAGCCGGGTGTGGTAGCATGCGCCTGTAGTTCCAGCTACTTGGAAGGGTGAGGTGGAAGGATCGCCGGAGCCCAACAGGTTGAGGCTGCAGTGGCCGGGAGCAGCCACTGCACTCCAGTCTGGTTGACAGAGTGAGACTCCAACTC